AATAATCTAGAAGTGCTGTGAACAATCCCATCCGTGTTACGAATTTTTTCAGTTCTGTAGATATTTATAAACTCTCTATGTCTGCTTTTTCTGTTGGCACCCAAAAACACAACAATTTAAAACCTTAATTCCAATCTCTAGGTTGCACAGTGAATTCTGTAACTCAAAATTACAAACTGGACAGTAAATGTTCCACTTTTCACTTGTTTGTAAAAGCCGCTCTTGCTTTAAAAGCTATAGGGTTACTTCCGAAAACGATAAATAGTGCCCTCACGACGCCATTGTTTTCTGTCTTCAATTCCTCACAGGTCACGTGGTACAGTTCCCGTTCTATAAGTGTAGAATTCTGTGGACTAGACTCTAGTAGTAGACTCTTCTTCTTCTACTTCTAAACCTTCGAGATTACAAAGGCCAAGCCTAGGCTTGTAAGGATTCGTTTTGTTAAAAGTGTTGTTTAACACAAAGTCTATGAAGTTAGCAAACCTAACACATTGTTTTCTAACGAAATGATGCTTAAATTGACTTTTATATTGTCAAAAAGAGATCAAATTTAATCACCTAATCATTTAAGTAAGGAAGTGGCTATCCTCGCCCGGGGTGAGAATAAAAACCCTACGATTGACCTCTCACCCCGGGTGAGACTTGCCAGCGTTGGCTATTCTCACCCAGTGTGAAACAAGACCTGTTTTTCCTAATTTCGAAATGCTTTCTATCGGTGTGGATGATCAAATTGACAAAGGCAAAGAAAAAAATGACGTTATAGCACAAAAGTAAGCTAATTTGATCGTCTGCAAAGATGCTATGGCTCTTTCACTTTTCGAATCGACCGAACTACGCGGGTCACCATTTTGTTTTGCCCGAAAGTTCTCGCAAGATCTACTCCTCCCCCTTCTCTCTCTCTCTCTCTCTCTCTCTCTCTCTCTCTCTCTCTCTCACTCTCTCTCTCTCTCTCTCTCTCTCTCTCTGTCGGCAATTTATTAAATCTGCAACCTGCAATTAGATTACAACTAGATCTAGATTCGAGACTTTAGTAAAGGCAGAGTCCAGGGAAAAACATCAATTAAATTCGTGTGGTGCAGATGAGTAAAGAGAGACCAAAACAATCTCTCTATCGCGACTATCACGGCACATCACTTCACCTATACATGTTCCGGTAACCACCTATAAATAGATGGAAGTTTGACCCGTGTCAAAGGTTGGGAGGTGGCTGACGATTCGGGAGGTGGCTGCGGGTTGACGAAAGGGAAAAGCGCGCCGCCGCCCAGTGACCCGGGATGATCGCCCGA